GTATGAATGTAAAGTCTATTTATTCATTTTTGGAGTTCAATAGCCAAGGAACAACATTAAGAGCATATTAATTTAGAATAAAATGGGGGTGAATTCATAATATTATATTGTTCATTTTGCATGAACTATTCCTATTCCAACACTATCTTTGTTGTCACAGACTGTGACGGTCACAGATTCAGTTCTGTTGCTGTTCTTTTGGATATGACCAGATTTGTTTAATGCAGGCTATGGTTGGCGACTTTGCTATAAACTGAAAAGGAAACAAAAGCTAGTAACTAGGACTCTTGGGTGCAGTGATGAGGTCTTATGGGAACGAAGAGTCTGATTAGCTTCATCAGCTAAACACAGACCATTACACACAACAGCAACTCATTAAAACAATGTGCGAACAGTTAGAAAACGGAAAAACTGTTTTTAGAAGGTTATTCAGAGTTATCGGTTTCCTTCGCGACTCTGGTTCCTCTCAACACTGAACCACTGACAAACAGAAATTGCTATCTTGACCTCTGTGATTTCTCTGAGGATATTCAATGCTCAAATGAGGAAGTGATTTGAACCTTACATTTTAAAAGCTTGATGTTTGTTACTATAGTTAGGCAGTGCTGATGTGCATAGCTGAAATATATTCCAGTTAGTGGGCGTTATTGGATTGACCTCCAGTTATTTTACAAAAGACAATGTTTGCTTCTTTAGTTTTCTTGCACATATCAGAGAATCTGTGAAGTTTCGCTTACTTTGTTTTCCATGGACTCTTTGAAAGACAATTACCGGTGTAATCTGCGGTTACTCTTTTCTTGTTGACTTTCCAAAACAGCTCAACAGATGGTTATACGATACAAAAACAAGCACACACAATGGAAAATGTTGAGAAAGAAAGAATAATAAGACTGTGAAATAGAGGTGGGTGTTCGTCCAACTCAAACAACCGTACCATTTATATAGATTTTACTTCTCCTTCAGCTTTTTTTCCCACCCCATAATCGTCTTGTCACTTTGGTGTTAAATGCAGCTTTGTTCAGTATGATCAATTAAATAGTACCGAGAAGTTTGGACCCAGATCTTCTCCATTATCTACAGCAGACCTGAATCAGATTAGTATGCAGTGTTCTGGCACATGTAAAAAGCACAAGAGAAAGAGCGACCAAGTTAGTTTCTTTTTTTTAAACTATGATTTTAATATTTCGCTATTGCTTCTCAGTACAGAGTTTAGTCCAGCATATTTCAGTCAGTAAAACACTCTTTTGCTTAATTTCACACAAATCCTGTTCTAAAGATTCAAAGCAGACAAAAGAAATTGTTGACAGGGTTAATGAACAGAAATCAATCATCAAATGTTAGTACAATCGGCAAGAAACGATTAATCAAATTATATAACTAGAAATGGTTAATAGCTTACAATTTACATAAGAAAGGCACAGAGGCAAAGCAACAATGACAAACCAAACACCCCAGCAAATAATAACCACTTTAAACCTTGCTCGGAGTGAGGCTGGAACCAAATGATATTGTTCATCAAATAAGTTTTTCCATTTTCAATCAACTATGGAATTATATCATCATGGGAAAAATATGTCTCTCATTTAAATTTTTTTGTAATAAGGCATACTGTTCATATCTGGAAATGTGATTTAATGTTATTTCTCACATACAAAATATGATAGAAAAACACATTATAAAATGTTACAATGGTTATAAATAGGACTGTATATTTTCCAATGCAGGAAGCTGCTTGGGATTGCGAAAAAAAAAAAGACAACAAAAATAAGCTAAAATGGAGAATTGCAGTTCATTGGCATATACAATACATAAACGGTCACTCACACAATCACCCATAAACACATGCTCACACACATAATGACACAGTCTATAGTAATACTGCATGGAAAGCAAACACTAAACCAAAAAAACCAAACACACATTAACAAACAACTCCAGTTTCTAGTCGATCTGACAGGATGAGAGATCCTTGTAAAAACTATTTCCATCCGTTAAATGTATTTGCAGGATTTTTACTTTAGCAATTTCCAGGTTAATAAAACAAATTACATGCAACTGCATCACAACCTCAAACTCTGCATAAATACAACCAATATTATTAGAAAAGGAGATGTATCTTCTCAAAATCCAGTTCTGATAACCAAATAACAAAATGTAATTATAATTTGTTAATACGCTTTTAGTTTTGTTGTTCTTCAGCACTGAAATGGTCTGACATTTTAACTGGAAGACCAACTGAAGGAAATGTATTCAGTCATTTTAATAAAACTGAAAATCATTTGCATAGGAAGGTATGGAGAAACGGGACACGTCTGCATACAAACATGCTCCTCTAGTACACTTCAATTCTTCAAAAGGAATAAAATGAGCTCTATACCAATTAACCCCAAACCTTTATAATATTCATCCTGATGAATGGAATAAATTCTTCTTGAGATATAAGCAGACTAAAAATATGGAAATAATGACCAGTAGCTGTTGGGGGCTTCATTGCTGTGTAACAGATTTAGTGATGGATCTACAAACATATTAGAGAGCTTATACATATACATTATCAACTACAAACAGATTATGAGCACAAAGGGCTCATTTACCAGCTAATGTAGTGTGACACGGTAAAACTCAGTCATTGTTTGTAAATAAAAATTAGAAAATGCACATAATAAAATGTAGTTTTTGAGTAACACTTGCGACGTTGTTCTGTACACCTCTCGTTTTCATGAATAGAGGGGAATTGAACAGAAATACCTGATATGTTGGCATATAACATTGATGGACAATCATACTTATTCATATTTGATGATATTGTGTAAAATAAGGCACTTGTTTTTTTTTTATTATTAAAAAAAGACACTGTTTTGGTCTCTAAAATTTTGTCGTTTGTTCATCACATTTTGACAATACTGCTTTGTTTTTTAATACAAAAAGGATCACCTTTCGAAAAATATATATTCATTTCCTGTGCAGCACCCTCGTATCAAAAAGATATCAATTGATGTTCAGTGTTTGTACACTTGCTCATGTGGATGCTTTTCGACAGCTCTCTGAAGAAAACGCTGGTAGGCAAGCATGGCTTTTACATCTCTTATGGACATTTGGACCTATAAATCAGTTTTAAAAGAAACTGCTGGGCTTTTTCAAACTCTTCAGGATGGTATGAGAACTGCAGTGCACAAACTTAGAGAGTTATATAGAATATTATGCTTAATTATTAAGAAACCAATAAAGATTTGTGTTTATTTAGTGTGTGCATGTGAAAGGCTAACAGTAGGATTTTAGGTGTCGCCCAGACAGCGTTATTGCTTTATGACACTTCAGTGCAGGCTGGGAAGCCCAGGTCACCTGACCAAGGATCAAAAGATTTCTAGACAGTACAAAACGTTGGTGTTTTTTTTAACTCAACTTTTATTGCCTTTAAAATTTGACCATTTACAAAAAATACAGAACGCTAATCCAACAGAATGATACTAAAGCATATCGGCTGAAATTTAGGGCTGCAACAACACAAGGAAACAATTAGAAAGACAAATCTACTTGTTTGGCAAACCTATAACTTATAAGACAGTGTAGCAAGACTGTCATAGGTACGACATCCTAAAAACAAAATGTACCCTCCCTTATGGAAAAAAAAATATAACATGGCATTGATCTCTAATGTTTACTAGTATAAATTCCCTATTCATTTACAAATACAATAGAATTTCATAAATGTTCTTGCTTTATAGTTAAACATATTGCTTTCATAAACTCCTCTTAAAAAGATCACACACGATAACTATGTTCTTTTCCATACATTTGACAAAAAAATTCAAAAGAAGCTTACTGCAAAACAACAAACAAGAAACAAAAACCAAAAATGGAATATTTCCTCAGTTCATCGGTTGTTCTTGTGCTAACAGGTGGCCACAGTGTGTGACCATCCTGCTTTGATAAACATCCTAACATCTCATGAGGTTTTGCCGTTTCGTTTTTTTCCTGTTTCACTTTGCTCTGAGTATCGCAGACTAGGAGCCGGTGATTTAAAATCTTCAGTGCAAAATACTTGTGCCATATTTTTATGATGAGGAATTTCTTGAATGGGGAGCTTAAGGGATCATAAGCACTCTGAAACACCATTATAATGCTCTGATTATGCACCGAGCATAAGAAACTATTTTTAAAGGGCAGTGCATATGATGACTTACACTCTCAAACAAGTCCTAACCTTCATAACCGTCTAGCCTATCTTGTGTGACACTGTCCAAGCCGGGTGCTTGGAATATTTCATCCAATGCCTTTCATTCAAGGGTATTTTCCCTGCTCAGGAATCTTTAACAAATTCTCAGAGATCTTTCTGAGGCTGTGGGCAGTAAGCCACACAAGATAGATTGGACTTTTTGTGCAATTTCACAATTGTTATGCATTAAACTGGTCAGTTGTATTGGTCTATTAAATTATGGCATGTTAAATAAAGTCTTATGGGTGTGAAATTCACTTATATTGATCAGTAGATTCTCACGTTTACAGTTTTTTCAGGAGTCATAGTTATTATATGTACAGTTTTGGCACATCCACGTATTTGTAATATGAGTTTAAATCAGTTTCATTACAGCGGTCTTTAGAAGCTGGTGCTGTAATTCCCTTAGATCCAGTTTATTTCCATTTAAGGCATTTGAAAGATTTTGACATGAATATGCTCAATGACCCTGGCCAAAAATGATTACTTTTAACCTCAACGACAACTGATCTACACATAAAAACTGCAGTAAAAAGGTATAAATAAAATATGTAAAATGAGAAAAGATTCCAAACAGTACAAGCACTCAAGATTATGAACAAAAAATCTGAATTGGCAGAAGTCAAAAATGCTGGGTTAAATACAACCCAGCGCTGGGTAAAATATGGACAAACACAACGATTGGGTTGTTTTGACCCAGCGGTTGGGTTAATGCCCAGAAGGTTGGGTTAAACATTTAACCCAACTGTTGGTTGGAAACAACCCAATCGCTGGGTTTGTCCATATTTTACCCAGCGCTTGGTTGTATTTAACCCAGCATTTTTTTAGAGTGTATCTTCTGTAATGAGATACAGCTTATAACAGGCCTGAAATAACATACAGTATTGAATTTTCTCAATTCATATGACTAAGTATACATCTGTATCATAAATTGGGGAAAACCAGCATTGCACCATCTTCTAAACTTTACGTATGCTAATCTGGCCAGGCTGAACCATAAATAAGATTATTTGTTTTATTATATCAGATGAGACTTTAAAAATATATATATATATATAGTAAAACAGAGTTCCATTATTCATAAAGTAAAAACTCAAAACTGTTTCTTTGAAAGCTGCCGAAACAATGTTTCAATGGATCAGAATGGAAGAGTAGATTTAAATGGGACACTAATGTACTTAAGCGACATAAAATTATCTGAAAATACACTAAAACTGAGAAAGGATATCAAAGGAATGACAAATGAAGGAATAAACAGAAGCAAACAAACAGGTGAGCTTCATTACCCTTCATTGACTATGAGCCTGAAGGCCATCACAACGTCATCAGTGTAATGGAGCACAGTGGACTGTCAGTTTTGCTCCAAAGTGGTTCTAACACTATCACACTAGCTGTTTTTCATCTACATACATCCACTAAGCTTCAGGTCATGTTTGTCTCAATATACAACGCATGTAAGTGCTGAAGTTATCAGATCATACTAACAGTCAGTTCCAAAACCTGGTGAGCTTCCTACAGAGGCAGTATTTTTAGGCACTTTTCAATGTGAAGGCTCGTTTTACCTCATTTTAGCCTAAGGTAGCATATATATGCATCCGTTACAGAAAAGGCTATTTCAAAATGCATTCATGTTGCATTCATGTCATTACTGACAAATACTGATAAAAAATAGTTCAGGTGTATTTAAAAAGTACACTTGCAACATGCTAACCTCAAACTTGATTTCAAGTCGAGTCTCCTGTGCGGAATGCCACTGATGTTATGTGTTGGTTATGAAATTGTACATTAACAAGGTTCCATGGCAGTTAGGATGCTGTCTTAGAAGGCAGCTCACTAGATTCTGGAACAGAGCTGAAATCTCAGAATTTGGAATGTTGTCATAAGTCATCACAGGATGTTGTAACCTCCTGTAAATCAGTTAGAATTTTCTTTTGTAACAGTATTCTATTTTTTTAACCTTTGCTTCAGTGACCCCAAGAACATGCTCTAAATACAATACAAGTATGCTGATGACACCCTACAGTTTCAATGCATTTCTAGGTTGGCAGGTTTAGTAAATAAACAAACCCTGCACAGTATGACTGGCATGTACTATACCTGATAACAGCAAGATTGAAAACTCAAATGATGCTTTTTGTTTGGCAGGTTAGAAGTGACTAAAAACATTTCCTCTGTTTGTATTGAGTGAGATGCAATCGAAAAAAACAGTGTAATCAGCATACTGAAGCAGCACACACACACACACACACACACACACACACACACATATATACAGAGCACAGTTTGAACACTGGAGCTAAACTAACCTCGTTCTGCGGTCACTACCCTTTGGTAAGGATGGACGCGCATATCCTGCCTTCGTATTTTAGTAGTCACTGCACCTGCTCAGAGCGCAACATTGCCAACAAAACAAGAATTAACAGATTATTCATCAAAATACATTAAAACTACACTTCACACAACATTGTTTCACAAACAAGGCTTGTAAGACCAAATTACAAGGCACAAGTGACCTTTTCTCCAGGGCCCCTTTATCGTGAAATCACATCATATCTTGTTGCCCTTTCTCAATTTCCCAGTAAATCTGTCGCATTTCCATTAAAAATTTTTTTGCTTTTTTTTAACCCTCTTGACTAATTTCTACAATGACTATAGAGCCCTTGTATTGTTCTTAACACACAATATGCGTCAGATAATGTGAATTCATTAAAGGCTATTTCATGGAGAAATTTTTTCACAAGCATGTTATATTAGCAATAATACTGATCACTCTCTAAATATCTAAGATACAGTTGCAGGAAAATAAGTAATACAAAAATTACAAGCGAAACAAATATAGATTACTTTTCAACCAAAGGAATGTAATAAGGCTTAATTATCAGTATTTATCTGAAAATATCCATTTTTAATCTATGAATAAGTCAACAAAACAGTTAAGACCAGTGTAAACATGAGTAGTAATGATCTTTAGTCTTTTGTTTCTTAAAAAAAATCAGTTTCTTCATTTGCTCTTTTGTTCCAAGGCAGCTGTAAAGCAAAGCATTTTTAACACTCATATGGGCTGAAGACTGTGTTAAACCCCTGAGCATTACAAGCCTTTTGTCGGGAAAGCCATACCTACAAGGACAAGACAGAATGCTGGAGTTAGTCTCCTGGATCTCTGAGCAAAAGAGGACAAATCGTGTACTCTAAAACAAGGGTGGGCGGTATATGTACATACAGAAAATATATCAAATAAAACATATAATAACAAGCAATATAATAACAAATTAAATATACATTTTACAATATTATATATTATAAATATATATAGAATATTATAATATACCAATATATTTATATAATTAAAATACATTATTATTACTATTATTAAATTAATTTATTTAATTATTTAATAATATTAATTAAATTAAATATATCATATCAGGTCTATCATACCGCCCAGCCCTAACACCAAACTGTGTTAAATGCATAATCTGTATAAAGAAAATTAAAAAAAACATTTAAAGACAAAAATAATCAAATATCTTACCTAAAACACCACTTGAGTCAATAGGATATTCAAGAATAGAGGCTGGGGCGAGGGTGTAGGGGTAATCGTAGGGTGCATAGATGATGCCTGACTCAGGGGTCTGGGGTACGAGGGTTGCGGCGGGGTGGGGCGTGCCCGTTGGCATGATGGCAGAGGTCTGGATCTGTCGGATGAGGGGCATGAGGGTGGGTGCTGCGGGTGCAGTGGTACGCAGTGCCGCAGTGGGCATCACCGGGGAGTGGCCGGTGATAATGCGGGGAGCTTGTGCTGTGGCGGCCAGGGAGAAGGCTAAGGCTGCTAAACAGAACAAGATGCACAAGAGCAAATACACAAAGATGTGAGGGGGAAAAGAAATTGAGGGGCTAATCAATCTACCTTGACTTACATTTCAAAAGTAAACTAGTAGCTATGCAAATATTTTCACACAAAAATAAATTAGAAATGTGCATTTTAACTCATCCACATGGACAGTGCTTTCATGGCAACAAAAGAAAAGTTTAGGTTTCTATTATAGTCTATTAGATTCAAAATTCAAACCTTGTTTTTAAAAAAGCTCATATAAACCAAAAATAGACAGCATACCTAAAACTGAAATTATCTACAAAAAGACTGAGTGCAAAATTTATGTTAAGTGGCTTGGGTTGAATTAAAGGGACAGTTCACCCAAAGATGAAAATTTGTCATCATTTACTCACCCTCATGTCATTCCAAACCTTTATACGTTTCTTTCTTATGTTGAACACAAAAGGAGATATTTTGAAGAACCAAACAGTTGTTGGTCCCCATTGACTTCCATAGTAAGGAAAGAAATACTATGGAAGTCAACGTGGACCAACAACTGTTTGATTACCAGCATTCTTCAAAATATCTTCTTTTATGTTCAACATAAGAAAGAAACTCATACAGGTTTGGAATGACATGAGGGTAAGTAAATGGTGACGAAATTTTCATTTTTGGGTGAACTATTCCTTTAACTGAAGAAAACTGGTTTATAACTAATTTGGTTTAACAAGACTGGTTTATAACAAATCTCTAAACAGAATGTTTGATGAATATCAATATATCACTGCAATTTCTTGCAAGTGATGTCAACATAAAGCTAAAAATCCCAAAAGAGATGAGTTGTGTTTAAAAGACAAAAATTTTAAAAAGAAATGAATTTTATATAAAGAGATTGATATTTGAGGGGAAGAGAAACTGCACAAACACAGGTCGATGTTTGATAATGTCATTCTTACATGACTTGACATTGGCGTCTCTGTAAGTGCCGTTGAGAATGGCCAGCTCCATTAGCTGCATCTTTTTCAAGCTGTCTTCACCTTCGGCCTGCTCACACACAGGAAAAAAAAAGCTGTTAGGAATAATTTAACACCTATTAGCTTACTTAAAAAGCTCAATTGAAATTTTTGTCTGCTCAAATGTTTGAGAAGGCAGTGCAGTGGTGCAGGGAAGCTAATGTTTCACACTTGCTAACAGCTAGCAGATGATTTACTCTGCCACTGTTAAAACAAGCCAGGCCCAAGGAGCTGGAGGTTAAAGAAACAGATCTTATTACTCTCAACAGCGGGTGCTGGGATCAGCGCCTCTCAACATTCTCTGTTTTCCATCGGCTCATCCTACAAGCTGTTTTCCCCTTATGCAGTTCACTTCTTCTGAAGTGAACACTGTTTTGTCAATTTATGATGAAGTGGTCCATATGAACCCATGGTTCTCAACCAGGGGACCGGGACCCATTAGAGGCCTTCAGCAAACTTCAAAGCGGTCAACAGCTTTACGCTTCTCTCTGAAAACAGTCGAGCTCTTAAAGGCGTGCTGTGGGCGGAGCTTAAGAGTCAGGAGTATGCACAGCTTTTGCATAGCGATCGTCTGCAAGTTGTGACGTCAACATAAATAAAACGGGGACTAAAACTTTATTAACTTAACTATGGCTAACGAATTACTGAATGAATCACGTTGATGGCCGTGCTCTTGCTCTCACTCTGGTCTCTTCCTGGAGAAGTGCCCATATAAGGAATCCCACCCTTTATGACGTCATACAGGGCCATACGTGAAAATAACTTTCTGAAACTTATATGAACCCTGAAGGAGTGACTTTGGCACAGAAATACTTCTTCATACGTCCAACTCGCTTTTTGAGACTTTGGTCATGTTTAACTTTTTAGCAGTGTAAATAAGTCCGAATGCATGAAATAGTATTAGACTACTCCACAGTCTTGAAAAACCTGTATATATGAGGTAGCCTAATTTTTTTAAATGTGGATTTTTATAGACCTGGAAAGGCCATGTAAAAATCTTAGCAAATATAAAATTATATATTTTTAAAATATAAATATGTAAAATACATATTTAAAATTAATTTACCTTTTTTTAGTTATGCCAAGCAAGCGCTTAAAAAATTATCATGAAGTAATTTTGAGTATCGGGTAGTAATTTTGAGCTTATTATTATTCATTCTTATCCAGTAAAATCATAAACAACTGGGTAAGTTATGAGGCCTTTGAATATTGTAGACAACAGGAGGCTTTGGAGTCAAGAAGTTCAAACAAACACTGATCTAAACCATTGTATATCTCCTAGTGATTTATCTGCGGATGTAACAGACGTAAATGCACTGGGCTAACAGCAACAGTATAAAAATGTAAGCCCAAAAGAAAGAAAATATTTGAAAAGTTTGGATTTTCGTCAAGCTCCCAGACAGTTCAGAGCAGGTCAGGGAGGGGCACGGCAGACAGTCCACAGAATAATATGAACTATGTCAGCAAGCAGAGAAGCGAAAGAAAAGCGGGGCTTTTCAAACGGGGATCAGTGCGTGTGTATATGTGTGTGTGTGTTTACACCACACTTCTCTCTGCTTACTTTGCTGAGATCTGCCAGCCAAATGACTGAAGCTAGTGAATATCAGCCACTAGGTCAGACTATGTGTTAGGGAAAATATATTTAAACATTTATAATAATTCTAAACTTTTGATGAAGGATTAGTTGAATTTGACAACAGCATAAAAATGTGAATTATTCTAGTGAAATCCACATCTTTCCCATTAGCTTTTAGAAGGAAAATCGGTGGGGAAAAGTAGTAGAAAAACTGTATGTGCTACAAATGATCTTTTCATAAACTGGCATTACACGATGAATGGTTTAGAAAAAATGTTAACTGAAAAAAATATATGCTAGATGCCAAAGCTTTAGTTTAGTCACCATTCAATTTAGTAAAGAAACAATGTTAGAACAGAAAGGCTACAGATTCTATTCTCTGAGGGGAAAAGATGTTTTCTGAATATTTTGGGAATTGAGCTGGAAAACAAACACTACAAGAATGTTTTTCTACACTTAATTATTTTATAAAATAATAATGGTGAAAGAAGTCTTCAGTGGCATCAGTGCATGACATTGACTAGAACAAATCCTAATTCAAAATAAATATCAAAACATTTTCTTCAGACACCATTCTATTTCAAAAAGCTATTTCTCAGAGGTTTGAACAAGTAGGCAATGACAAGAAATAAAGCTGAATACTCTTCCCCTGGATGGTTTGATGAAGACAAACACAACTGCAGTGAGTTTACCTTCAAGATGAAAGCTTCCTGGAGTAAACAGTGCTAAACTTTCTAAAGAGATTACTCCCCCCATTCAGGATCCCATTGCAGAGAAAGGGCACACCTGTCAATCAAGGATCAGTGCATCCCCAAGTGGGTTACCATGGTAGCGCCACAGGGAGTCCAGAAGCCCTCTCTCTTTGACAGAGGAGAAGGGATTACAATCCACAATTACACAAATTTCCCGAATTCCACTTGCTACTAACTCCATTATGCTTTCTACGGTAAATAGCTGTTGTTCACAATAAGAAATACCCCAAAATCAAGAAAGTATTTTTTCTTTATTGCACACAAGGCACAAAACGGCTTTCGCAACAGTGTAATTTTAGTATATACTGTATTTATATGCATTACAGTATTTATGAATATTTTAAATGAGCTTTTTTATTTTATATTTTCATTTTAATTAGTTTAACTTTATATGGTTTTAGAATTAGTATTTTTTTAATATTTCTACATTTAAGAATTTCTTGCAATTTTAGTACTTACGGTAGTAGGCAACATTTCTACTTTTTTGAAGTTATAGGTTTTTTTCATTCAATACTATATTTCATTTCAGCTAATTACTGTTTCAGTAGCAGTTTTAGTTTGTTAACAATAACAACACTGATTCGCAACCCATTTTCTATCTTGTAATCATGTCACATATTTCTGAACGAAATGGAACAATTAATAAGAAAATATATAATATATACCCTAATCCAGCCCTATATTTTTTATTCTTGTTGAACACCAGTAAAATGGGTTACACACTTTTTTACTGATACTCAACAAGAACAAAAAAAAATGTAGGGCTGGACTATATTTTATCAAACAGTAATTGACTGAATTATGTCTCTACATGATGGATAAAAAATTTAAAAAAGGCGGCGGCTTTGTAATGTCAGGTGAAAAATCAGGACAAGGAAACTGTATTAACAAATGGGTCCAATTTTAATTTCAATCCTTTTCTAGGTTTAAATCTTACATTTTAGTTTAAAATCCTAAAAAAGCAAATTGTTCTTCTTGACATTTTAATGTTTTCTGCTTAGATTAGATAACGCTGATGTAAGAATATTGCTATATTTCTATGTCTAGCTTCATAGCTATATTATAATGAAAAAAAAAACCATTGTGGAAAACACTACAGAAAAAGAACATTTCTCACTAGGCTTCTAATGGCACTTCCTTCTAACCTGCTGTCACTTCCTTTAGACCCAAAGGTTAATTGGCATTCAGCTCTGTGTCCCAGAGAAATGCCGAGACTTCCGTTGGTCCCCTGCGGGATTTTTTAGAGTCTTGACCCTTCAGTCCTGTGCTCCTCATTAATTTATAAGCAAAGGTAATTAAGCCTAGTAAAAACTGCCTATGGTGCTCACCTTTGCACATCTGGAGTCATGTGTGCTCAATGGCTACAAGCTTATACTCATGAAGGAAAGCAACCCTGTTCTCTGCCTCCTGTTCACATCTACCTGTCTGAGGATGCAGAGCGACTAGCGGGGAAACAGAAGACCTGCTGAGTGCAGATCTTTCGATTATGCGTGTTCTCCTAAATACATTTATCAGTGTCTAAGCAACATTTCCATGAGTCTTGTTTGTTGAGGTGAATCGATGTGATTTTGCCACTCGACACATTTAAAAAAAAAATCTAGTCTCAAAAAATACACATAGAGGACATAGACAAACAAATCACTCACCGCAGGGACTAGGAGTTTCTTGACCTCCTCGACGGCTCTCTTGAGTTTGATCTCAGCACGGTTCTGAGAGTCTTCCACAGTGATGAGGACATGCAGGTCTTCGTTCAGGTGTTCCCAGTTGGGCTTTCCTCTGTTTTGCTCTTCCTGTTCACAAAAAACAGAAGAGCTGTTTGAGAACCAGGGCTGTGCACCAACTCAATTCCCGAATTTGAATTGAGACATCAGAGAAGATGCAGAATTGCAATTTGAATAGTTTACTTTGAAGAAAGTAAAATTAAATGAAATTCATACATTTTTAGATAGAACATTTTTTAAAGTAGAAAACCAATAGTAGATCTAGACAGAACGATAGGGAGATAGAACGATAGATAGAACGATAGATAGAACGATAGATAGATAGATAGAACGATAGATAGATAGATAGATAGATAGATAGATAGATAAATAGATAGATAAATAACAGAGAGAGAGGGCTGGGTGGGATTGGGAAATGACTGTAACTTGGGTCGCCGCATAAGCGCCACTGGAAGACGTGTCAAAGCACGTGCACAACCCGCCAGGCCACATTTCCAACAAGACGTTTCTCAACAGTATTTTCCAGGGGACATTTTTAAGACTTTGGATTGATTGAGCATACAGACAACTTCCCGTGACTACCCAGCACCCCAGTTTCCATGGAAACTTTTCTAGACTCTTATTTGTAGTTACACATGGACATAAACCTAAAACACCAACAGACATGTAGCAACAGTTAGCCTGGAGACAAGTGACCGTCAGTTTATCTCAGGGTTCAGACCGCCAACAGCAGTGACGAGCCGGTTGCTATAGAAATGGGGCGTTCGGGCCCAAGCATTGAGCCTTATTGAATGCATTGTCTCCAGCTGGGTTTTTCATCACAGCGGGGCTTATGTTTACGACGCAGAGCTCAGGCCTACAGAACAATCAATTACTGTGAACTCGCTCGCCGCCTTCTGAGGTTCCCGCTTCAAGCAATCACAGACATCGTCTTGGCCTCAAGGGTAAAGTTTGAATGAGAGAAACAAAGACATAGACGTCCTGGCCACATCCTTGACCGGAGGACGCCAGTCTCAGATCACAGTTGGTGGCGTTGTATTTGCTAATAAGTGGCTGCCACCTCCTCAGAATAGAGTAATTAGATGATCAAATATGTGCAACCGATAAGGCTGCAGTCTTGCAACCACAACTGGTTATGTGCTAATAATAACTGTGATTTTGACTCTGAAACAGTCTAAGCAGCAGCACAATGCATAGAGGTCTTCGTCTGGCCTACTTTGGTGGGTAGGCAATTTTGTGCACAACACAGCAAAGTGTGAAAAAGTTGTTTGCATGATGCATTTAACGATAACAGCTATAGATCAACAGTGAACGTAAAAGGCCAATCCAACACAAGCTATAAATTACAAAAAGTACATGATGATTTTAGCAAGCTTTCTTAGGATATGTGCACCTATTTGTACACAAACGTCCTCCAAACTCAGAATCTCTATTTCACTTCCAACCATCAAATGCATGAACCTTTTGCATGATCTGAATTACAGCGTACAGCGTAAACAGACTATTTTGTCATGTGATATTATAAACATAGCAGTTTGCTATAGGAATAACTGACGTAAAAAAGTAATGTCATCATTTACTCAGCCTCATGGGTTTCGAAATCAGTATGTCTTCCTTCTGTGGAATATGAAAGGAGTTATTAATAGGAGAACATCTAAGTCGTTCTTTTCTATATAATGAAAGTGAACGGTGACCATGAGATTTCCAGTGAATAACTTAAATTTCAGTGTGAAGAACATAAATGTCATGTTTCTCACATGAAGTTATCAAATGGCTTGAAACATAGCATACAAGTCATATGCACTACTTAAATTACTTTTATGTTGCTTTTTTGCTTGCTTTGGAGCCTGACAGTGTTTAGTCCCTATCCACTTTCATTGTACAGAAAAGAACAGCTAGGACATTCTGCCAAGTTTCTCTTTTTGTGTTCCACAGACAAAAAAAGTCATACAGGTTTGGAATGACATGAAGGTGAGTACAAAAACTAAAATTTAATGTTATGGAAAAGCTAACCTTTTAATTCTAATAGCAAACACCTTTCACAGACCAGAAACCTAACCCTATTGTGTGTTTATTCCAAGAAATGTGACAGTAAATTCAATTTAGGCAAAGAGAACAGATGCAGATGGCATCTCCATTTGACGCCTGACTTGTTTGCCCCTGGCTGTAACTTTTCTTATTTTCTCTCTGTTCCTTGATTGCCATAATTTTTCACAGGATTTATGCACAAGTTTCGTGCTGCTGTCACAGTAGTTTCAGTGTTACAGAAATGAAGTTTGCAGAACACTATAGGGCTTGATGGTTTCGCAATCTAACGTTCATTTTCGCGCAATGTTCAAAAGCACTCTTCACAGATTTAATTTTGACATGCTATTATGACAGGAGCATTTTGAAAAGCATAAGCCTAGTGGCTGCTGTCAGAAAACAATGTCAAACTTGAGAAAACAGCTGAGGTTTAAACTTTCGATTTCAATTGTCTGTTCTGAGCTTCCTAGATGTGCAACACCTCGTCTGGCTAAGAATGCTGAGCCACCAGTCTGTTTTTCTGTCTTGACCAACGAAACAGCCTTTATAAGCATCTCTGGTGTGGTAGACATAGGTTGTGCAATACAGTGAGAGAATGGCGCTTTGCCTGAGGCATCTTGGTTCATTGTGTTCCATTAATTCCCCATCAATCTGAATCTCATCAACGCCTCTAACCCAATATTTTACCGTGTATGCTCTTAATGTTTCATTTGCATGCTTGTGTAGGCAGTGGAAGTTGTGCTGTGAGGAATAAACACAGATGGCGTATCCTTGAAAGTCTTAAACTGATAAAACTATTGATTTCTATTATGCAAAAAGGAGACAGTTGTCTCCTGATGTGTCTGTGGAAACAGGCCTGAACTCAAGACAGTAGTTCGTAGTTGCTAATGTCTATATACCACATTAAAAGCAAATAGTCTGACATCAAATATAGTTACAAGGCATAGATGCCATTAAAACAAATCAATCTTCAGTAGCATTATTTGTTCTGTTCTTGTTTTTGTTGGTTTAGAGTATTGGATATTTGCAACACGCCCAAATTGAACTCCAGTCTAAAAACTTGGACTAAATGGTGTAGGATGAGACAAGGAAGTGAAACAGTATTCTTTGAGCTTGAAAAACAGAGCATTCTCCTTTCTCGAATAGCACTCATTTTCATTTTAATGCGAGTCATTTTTCCTCTGTGTCAAGCAGCCTTGGAGGCAGGCAGATCATCTGCCTCAGTTCTACAGTGGGGAAGGCCATGCAGACTCTGTCAGGAATTCCATTAAAATGGAATCGCCTGGATTTTGTCTCTTTCCATTTGGCATCTATTAGTTATGTGCTGGCGCAAAGGCAGTATATGGTCTTCCTCGCAAAAAAACAAAAAAAAACAACATGCAATAAAAACATGTTTTTAACATTTAGTCCAAACAAACAACGAATGAATGAAAGAAATTTTAAAAAGCAAAGGAAACAAAAGAAAAGCAAAGGAAAGGAAAGAAAAGACAAAATAGTAAAAAAGGAAAGCAAAAGAGAAGAGAAAAGACAAGAAATATTCAATAAAAAGGGGAAATTTAAATAATAAAAGAAGGAAATGAAAGGAAATAACATAGTAAAAAAGAAACCAAAAAGAAAGTGAAAATAAAAGCAATAAAGTAAATAAAAAATTCTTACCTTCTTCTTGTCTCTCATGGAGGCTTTGCCTCGCACCATGATCTTGCAGCCCGTCTCTGCCTCCAGTTGTTTGGCTGTCAGGCCCCGGGGTCCCAGGATTCTTCCCACAAAATTGAACTGTGAAGAAACATCAAAAGGTAGAGAAAACAAGGGAGTTCTTTCAGTGGAAAACATCTGCATTTCACACATCTGGTATGAGCATCCCAGTGCTGAAAATCTGACACGGATCTGAAATAATTTGGGTTGCACTCTCGATGTGACAGAACGGTGTGTTTCTATCACTGTGCACACACACACATTCATTTTATATGCGCATAGAGATTTTTAATCACTGTACAACTTAGTTGAAAAAGACCAGCATAGAAATGCAGAGGCAGCCACAATCACATCCTCAAGGTTAAAAGCACAGACCATCATCTCCTCAGCTAATGGTTCTCCCATATGGAAGCTTTGGCAGAGCTTGATGTTAACTGCAGCATGGTAACATAATTGTATAATTCAATCAAAGGGACTTTGAAAACCCTGGCAGAATGTTTGGAATGTCTAATCCCCTTTTATTGAAAGGGGAACATCTAGAGACCAAATGCGGTTTTGGAATGTACCATTTGCCACGGGGAAGCCTTAACCATACTCCACCCTGTTCCTGTTCTGACACAAGTCACATGGAACAAATTTAACCAACAAAGGGGTCAAAGAGTCATATAAAAAACAAATACCTACCGTATTTAACAGCCAGTGTGACTTATGGTACAGTGCTTGATTGCTTTTGGTCCAATGCAAATTCATGTTCCAATTAACATGATTTTGGCTTTAGAAGTCATACAAAACAACCATTTACTGGAAAATATTTTCCAAACCCAACTTAATTTTAAATTCCTTTCAATTCAGACGTGACCAAAAGTGGAGATGTCTGAATGGTTAATTTGTTAGTCTGTAATATAACCGTCAATTTCCACTAATTTCTACTCTCAATCAAACCCTTTAGACAATATAAATGATATTTTGTGACATATGAGTATGGATACCACTAGTCAAGCAAACTGAATGATCGGTTGAGCTGTGACTCGACCCGGGACATTGTGCTTTTTGGCGTTTGTGGGCCTATGGCTGCACCACTCTTTCAGCATTTAACCTTATCTGTCACAATGGGTTAAGTGATAAGCCAGGCAGCTGAATCTCTCTCAGGGTCACAATGCATTCTCTTCCTTTTAAAGCTCATGTCTTCTCAGGCCGCTCACAGCTGCTGGGGGTCGTTGGCCCTCTGTGCTGTATATTTAGAGATGAGCTCATCAGACTTCTGTGTACTGTGGATGTCACTGTCTGTATGTCTGTCTGTGTCCTTGTGTTATTGTAGTTTATACTGTTTGTGGGCAATGTTTGTGCAACTGCTGAACTTCGTTTTTGTCAGTCTAGATGTTTCTGGCTACCTTCCCGTCATTCTGATTGGTAAGCTGTGTAACATTGAGATCACTGCTGGTCTATGTAACTGCACAGACAACTGAAGTGACTGATAGTATATAATTTCCAAACCAAATTCCCACTGATTACCAGGTGATGCTGATTAAGGCTGCAAAGTGTGTAATTTTCTGTGAATCACAAAAACCTGATCTGATCAGCAAGCAGATCAGACAGTATTTCTCATTTCACAAAAGAATGGAATGTTTCTTAAAGGGAGAACACCAAAAATAAACAAAAAAATTGTGTTTTTAGTTACTAATTTTATAAGTTGACCTCAGGGAAAAACTGAATACAAAAAAAAAACACTACAGTTTTTTTAGTATTTAAGTCTATTATGCTCACCAGGGTTGCTTTTTGTTTGATCAAAAACACAATAAAAAACAAAAGAAAAAAAATAAATAAGGGTGAGTAAATGATGAGAGCATTTTCATTTTTGGGTGGACTATTCCTTTTAAAAAACAAAGACAGTCACAGAATGCTAACAAAATGACGTAAACACTGTCTTTTTTTTCTTTTGCTTTTTAACAAGTTTAAGAACTTCATCTAAAGTGTGTGGCTCTTAATGAACAACAATGAAGCACTGGAAAAACCTCATTACCAGTCGACAGCTAGAGTGAAAAGAGTGGGAAGAGGATGACAGACTGAGGCGGCGGCCTCAGAATCACTCTGAACGGTCTTTACATAGAGACAGTGAGAGCATGCAGAATGGAAAACTAATCATCATAGCCCACCCCTCACATCTCCTCGTCAAAGTCCACATTTGTTTTCACATAGACTATGAAAGCAGGGATAATGCTCTAGATCATTCTCTCCAAAAGGCGATAGAGGACATAAAGGCCAGTGACCTGCATGTCTCTCACCCACACTTGGCACGGATGGTGGGATGGTGGTAACCCTGACAGGTTCCTGCAGGATTATCGGAATTCTGCTTCTATTACAGGGGAGCAAAGTCGCTCTCAAAACAAGCCTGATGATTGATGGCTGCAGATAAGATAAGGATTTGTTGTGCCCCCAACTGATCTATCAAAACGACCATCACAAAGTGTAACGAGAAAACACAAGGTGGAGGAAATCTAACAGTATCTTACATTATTATTTTTTACACTTTTAGTATCTTCCAATCTTACATTCAAATGTAAACATCAGGTTTTCTGAGATTTGCACACTTTGCACACTCGATCTGGACAATTGAATTTGTGCAATTGATTAAAGGTAACTCTAGCTTGTTGACAAAGTTATGTCAAAATAACAGTAAGTAGGTATTAGTTACTGATAGTCTTGAAAGCATCAATAGAAATGGTAGAAAATGAGAAATCTGTATTACATTGCAATATATGCCACTATTTCATAGTAAAAGCTTTTTTGTAGTTTGGTATTATTAGTCATGTAGCCAACTAATAAAATCTAAAATTTTTTGGAAGTGTGGCCAGTGAAAATGTTGGCAGGGCAATTAAAGATCTGAATAGGCCAGAAAATTTCTTATTGTTGAGACTGAATAATCACAATAATTGAGCAATATTGCACATGAACAAGACCTACTGGTGCTGGCGGTGCGCAGTTACAAATGACTTTGTTGCTTTATGAAGTTTGTGACCTCAATGAGTCACTCAACAATGGGAAATTCTGAGCAGGTTGTCAAAATGTATCACATTTTAATACACTAGACAGTAGATACCAGATCAGAAGTTCCTGTGTGTTGTCATCTATCAGGCTAATCTATTCAAAAGCTTTTCTTTCTTCAAAATGTGTTTACTTGATGCAAGAACAGCATCAGAATGAGATGTATTGCATTTTATAGCTTCCGATTTCTTCTACATACTTTTAAAACAAGTTAATTTCGCACATTTGCGCAAGTGCTGTCAGTAGTTGGTTGGGATTCGTCCTGATATAGTAGACAATGCACAGAGGTTAATTATAACTAAACGAGAGATAATAGAGAAGCCCCTGTTATGCGCCTCTCATTCAAACTCGATTAACCCTGACCCTACTATCACTCTTATCAGCTCTTTAAGACAGGAGAAACGTGAGAGTTGTCAGCCAGAAACACTTCTCCGTCTACTTATTGTCTCCTTAAACACAGCCTCAATGATAAAGACGGTCAAGATAAACAGGACACTGAAAACGTACGTCCCAACACTTTGCTCAGTTGACATACAAACGTTTCAGATTGGGCTCCTCTCGTAATCCACTCTCAGGCCTGATGACTGTTTCTGCATAAATTACGTTTTCTGAGAATAGTATGAAAGCTGCCCTTGTAAACAGGATTCAACAGTCACGATGCATTAAAATAAGAAGCACAGGCTGAGAGTCAAACAATGCATAGACTCGCAGTATTAAGCAATATTTACCATGCTAATTATTGTCTTTTGATTATTGCTGTCCTGGCAGAGACGAGTTAATTGGATCAGTCTGCTGCAGGATTCTCATGCTCCCCTGTGTCTACGTCTAAGGTAAGACAATCAAAGTGTAAAACAACTAAATATTAGTCCCTGAGGATCCACATGTCATAAACGCACTTTCATGGACAAATTTCCAATTTTCTGTCATCTGAGTAATCTACAAAAACATGTGTTAACACTAATACATGTCTCTCTCTATTTACATGCACTAGTCAAGGTGCATTGTATGCCCTCATAAACACATTACAGCAGGTAAAATTGCAGTTTCTGAATGTACATTATTATTCCAGAAATACCATGAATGCGGTGATTATTTTAAGATACTAATCTGCTGTAAAACAGCTTTATTGGCCTTAACCCATTTGTGTTTGTGTCTGTTGTGTTGTGTGCATACATGACTGAACTCGTTCTTATCAATAAATCACCTGCTTTACCCACAGAAACGCACCCACACTGATGGAGATTCAACTGTAAACTACTGCCCAACAGTCTATGAGCTGAAGAAAAACATTAAGGGTACTGGGAAGCATTTGGGACACATATGGGAACACTTAAATTAAATCTATACAATAGTCTTAGTAACCGACCAACAAAGGATTAAACTCATGAAGTTTCTATTTTGGAAAAGCGCTGAAGTAATACTTACATCTGGGTATTCTTTGACAGGCACATAGAGTTTCTCTTGGAGTTGTGCAATGGGCCCCACAGCATCCGGGAGCTCGGAAGTCCTTTTATCTGTGCTGCCATTCAGAGTGTCATTGTACATGTCCTTCCGTACCCTTCCAATTTCTGTCAAACAGACACATTAAAAACTCAATTATATAAAAGAACTCTGAATTAAAACTTGGATAGAGATTATATCTAAAAATGAACATTTTACCACCATTTACTCACCCTCATGTCATTCCAAACCATTATATGTTACTTTTATCTGTGGATCATAGAAGAAAATATTTTGAAACATGTCTCTGTAATTTTAGACCATACAATAGAAGTTAATGGGTACCAAAGTTTTTTGATTACAAAATATGCTTGCAGGCTTGGAACGGCATGAGGTTGAGTAAATGACAGAATTTTTATGTTTGGGTAAACGATCCGTTTAAGGTTTAACATCTGAGAGAGGAAACTTTGACAAAGAGCATGTCAAATTTTTCACTTTCTTTGAAAAACGGTATTATCTACACAAACAATGCAGTTTTCCACATATCTGGATTCATAAGTTGCTTCCTTTATCTTTAAATACAAAGAAAAGATGTACTTTCTGTTATAAATGACTTGCAGAACTTTTAATGAGTTCATGCAGCTATTTAATTCAAAAACAACTCCTAAAGGGCATGAGAGCCCAGCCAGCCATAGCGCACCATGATGTGCATTCACAAAGAGTGAATCAGACACCAGCCTTTTGAATGCTCGTCGGTCCAAACAGAGGAATTCCAAAGAGACCAGCTTAAAAGACTGAAGCAATAATTATTATTTAACAAAAGCTCTTTGGAGGATATTGGGAAGAAGCAGCAGTATATTAGAATGGATTTACACTGATGTGCAATATGGTTCAAAATGACAACATCAAAGCATGGCCCAGGCCTGCAGATTAAAATGACCTAAATATAACACTGAGCTGAGCTAGCCGTAGCCTGCTGGGCTCCCATAGGATCCTCCCAGAGCAAAGCCGAGAACCTCAAGATCTCATAAGCAATAACTCAACAGTACTCAGCAGGCTGTGGTCCTCTGAATTCCACCGACAACACCACTCAGTCCTGAAGATCGACCAGTATTGTTTTCAATGTCTCTCATATGTCTTACATTAGTGAACGCAAGCATGTAAGTACATTTACACTCAATTACATGCAACACATGCTCTTGGCATGAGTGCATCTAACCATGTTTTCGATTCCTAAAACAGCATTTTCTGATTTACAATGTTTTAAATAAATCCCAACTGGGACTGGTTTCGTCTGCCCATATGCTATCATTCAGAATAGAGCTGATAAAATAAACCCTCGGAGTGAAATCAGTCATACGAGGTCCCACAATGAAGCACAAATCCAAACATCAGCTCAAACTGCTCAAAGCCGATTAATTTACACATTCTGGCAGTTACACATGAAATTGGTATAATTGGTCACTTTACATTGAGTGTTAAAAGGAGATTAAACAGTCAGTCAGAAGTTTATACTGGGTTTTGTGTGACTCTATGGCTTAACATTCCAACAGTCTCAAAACTTTGGACTAAGCATGACTTATCCCATGAGTCACAAGGGCTGGGCGATATATACAATATTCACAATGATTCTGCTGGCAATATTAAACAAGCAACACTGTGAATATCACAGTTTTAATGGTTTTTATTCATCTGTTAAAGCTAAAAGGATAGTTCTTCCAAAAATATAAATTATGCCAACATTTACTCACCCTCATAAGACTCATCTTCAGAACAATTTTTTTTTTTTTTTTTTAAATCTTACCAAACATGGTAAACGCCATGCCTGCTTGATGAACAAGAACAAACCTCACTTGTTCTCATGAAGGTGAATAAATAATGACAGAATTTTCATTTTGGGGTGAATCATTCAGAAGCATAAATTCAGAAGCAAAAATTACTTTATATTTAAGGGGCGAGTTCGATTCACTTCTGGGAATAAATTCAATGATTCAACTGTTTATGGCATTACACAAAAATGTTCAAAGAAGTCTCTGCATGCTATTTTCATACATTTTTACTATTATATTAAAAAATATATTTTTGCATATTGTTATATTGGTGCGAATTAAAACGAATACTGATATTAAAATCAATCTTCCTTGTGTTCATTTAGTAAAATTCAATTTGAAAACACAACATTTTGGATCTGCTAGGAAACAATGACTATTTGGTTGAAACGGAGATTCCGCAGTAAAAACTATTACAGAACAAATACATAAATAGACTGAAAATTAAAAAATAAACAAAATAAATACTACGGTCTGTTTAAACCATTCCCCGAAGAACAGCTGAGGTGACATAAGACATGTAATTTTCCACCCCGTTTTGCTGTTATTAGCACAACGTTCAAGTGCACTAAAAACAAACATTACAGGCGACTGGTCAACACTGGAAAACCACTACATAGACAGACAGTGAGATAGTCCTTCCTACTGCTGCTGTAGACCGTCATTTACATGTGTGTGTGTGTGTGTGACAGAGAGAGAGAGAGAGCTCAAGATGACTCTGATTACAGTTTGTGTTTGTTTACTGTCATCTGAGTCGAGCTGTCCAATACTACAGTATGATACAGTTGGTCTGGTATGGCAGCAGGCGAGCAATGGCTACATCACTGAGACATAAATATCACCTTCATAATGATAGCTGCGCTCCTGCACTTTAAACACACAGCGCTACAGATAACCTATTCAGTTGCTGTTATTTACTAATGACACACTGTCATGCGTCTGGCTTAAATTACTTCTTCTGACACCTTTAGTATTTTTCACACTTTTAGTGTCAGCCATGGGAAGTTTGTGCCTATATCAACTTCAAACAGGCAAATTTGGATGCAGTTTTTAGACTTTTTGAAACGGTTTACAAGAAAGAACTGGAAATCAGAGATATGTGCTGGCAGAAAAGCAAGCGTGATTTAATGTGAGATGTCAGACACATTCCTTGGTCGTTTAGCGAACAAAAGTGTTATTGCCTGCGAGAGCTGGCGGTCTCCAGACCATGCTGGACACTGCATAAAGACAAAGCGGTTACTCAACCAAACACTGCTTCACAGTATGTGCCATTACATAAGGCTTGAAAAGATGAGTGCACATACACAGACACACAAATTCATATAAAGACAGGATCGGAAATAATGATAAAAACTATACATTATGAACAAAACATTTATGAAAGGTCTGTTCAAATATCAACCAAGTACTTCCCATTTCTAAATGAAAGAATGTGCCAGGTTCTACAAAACAAAAAAAATAAACAGCACAACTGTTTTCAACATTGATAAGAAGAAATGTTTCTTGAGCACCAAAGCAGCATATTAGAATGATTTCTGAAGGATCACATAACCCAGAAGATTGGAGTAAGTCTTCACAGAAATCAAAGAAATAAATTACATTTTAATTATTATATTAATGCATATGTCAAATAGTATATTAATACATATATCCATTTTAATATATTTTATAATGTATTTACTCATGCCTATATCTAGTTCATCATACAAATATATACTTCTCTTTTCCTGCAGTTATAAGTTGCCACAGATGAGTCTTAAATAAAATCCTTTTATTTAATTATTATTATTTTACGCACCACTCCACAGTAAAGTGTATGTCATGCAATGGAGAGTTTTAAGACTTTGGAACAGAAACAGATTATTACAGTCTCCCATACAGAGACAGTGAAGTTGGCCATCTGTGGCAGTGTGGGAGAGATGAGAGACGCTGAGATGAACAGTGGAAACGTGATAAAGAAAGGTAAAAAAATAATAAAAGATAGAAAAGGTTGCAAGAGGGATGAAAGAGTAGACCGCAAACAGTGAAACCATCTGGATACTCGTCGACTGCCAGGAAACTGTCCGACTCCTCTTTCGTTTTCGCACACAGACAGCAGACACCACAGTTACTGCAATTGTCAGGCTGTTAGTGACAGTGTAAAAACAAATGTGTACATGCAAGAACAATATTTCCCTTCACTCTGACAATATATCTTCAAACTGAATGCCTTCTTCAGACCAAATACCTGTGGTGAAAGCAAATCTATTTCAACTGCAACCGTCATTTTAACCAATAACTTATGACATCCCCCTTTTAAGCATAATGTCATTATTTAATAATCCTAATGTTTCAAGCCCATAAGCTGTTATTTGGCCTGGAATACATAAGGAGAGTTTTTGAGAGCTCTTCCCATATACACTACTTAAAAAAAAAAAATTGGGGTCATTAAATTCTACTCAGCAAGGCTGCATTTATTTAAACAAAACAAAAATCATAATAATCAATCTTTCCTGTCACTTTTCATCAATTTAATGCATCACTTGCTGAGTAAAACTGTTCATTGCTGACCCAAAATGATTGAACCATAGCATATATGTCTCAAAAACATCATAAATGGACAGTATAGAAGTAGTCAATATAATTCATGCACTATATTCCAGTTATTTTGAAACCATACGATAACATGACAAACAGACTCAAATTTTAATAATTTGCCTTCTGTCGTAACTATTAAAACAAACATGGTGCCAAGTTTGACGTCAATAATGTTTGGTCATGTGATGTGCCGCAAGAACCAATAATGTTTGATTATCTCATTGATATCCAACCTGACATGATGTCCAAAAGGAATTATATTTCACTTAAAAGCTACAGTGGAGGGCAGGTTTATTAGAGAATAAAGAATAAACATTTGATCTGTTCATCAAAATTAACATTCTTTACTAGAAAAGCATGATTTGGAACAACATTGGGTGAGCAAATGACAGATTTTTCCTTTAAGGTCATTCTGATTCTCCTGGCAATCAGAAAATTAGAATGTGCAGCTTGTGCTTATCACTCTGATTGTGAACTCTACAACGTCATGATGTGATTGTGATGGTAAGCACTAACGTGCTGTGGTGATTGGATGATTGCTGAGAAAGATTGTCTGTTGGTGTCAAGAAGACTACTGCGGGCAAACTGGCAGTTAAGGGTGAGATAAGTATTGAGTATTTACAGATGCAAGCAAAGCTGTCTGGGAAGAGCAGGAGACTGATGAGATCACCGACACGCTCGATAATCAACATTTATCTTATCAAAGAAAACAGCCAAAGGGA